GTAGTAGTAGTAGTAGTAGTATTAATAATTAATACGTACGGTACGGAGGAGGAGAGAGAGAGAGAGAGAGAGAGAGAGAGCTTTTATAGCCAATGTTCTTTAGATAGTATATTATTGTGTAAGAGCACTGTATACGCGAAAAGAGGAGCAAAAAAAGAACTTTTACTCATATACTTTTCCCCTAGCGAGTTAACTATTCAAAATGAAATGCATATATGATAACATTCAATTTGATTTGGTTGGATAAAAAACTTATATAGTACGTTTACACGGGCTTCTAATTTCGACTTAACAGTGATGTTACAACTCCTACTTAAGTGAATCGCATTTACACATTCAGACTTATCTTACTCCTACCAAAATAGCATAAACTGAAATAGTTTAACAACTTTCAAATGAAATGAGTCAAGAATTTTCATTAATACCAATATAAAGTGATGAAAAATTAGATACTTGCTTGTGGTAAGATTATAATCTAAAAGAACGTGACCTTCACTTTTTGGTTTCCATTTCTTTTATTTTTTGATCTCTCCTTCTATATGGCACAAAATATTGAATAACCCTGCAAACAATGAAGAGTTAACACATTTAATTTTTATGGTTGGCATTATCGCGGGTGGGGTACGTTTGACTACGCAATTGCCCTGTTGCAATTGACCACCAGCCACTCATAGCGTTTGAACAGAGAAAAACTCTAGGCACCAGCCGTGAGTGGCTATGGTCAATCGCAACGTGATCAAACGGGACGCTCCTCATTATTGCCATCCTTATACTGCAGTCGTTTACACGTCCTTTTTCCATCAATGTAGTAACTCTAAGCTTCTTCACTAAAGTTATTGTTATGTTATTGTAAATTTGAATTATTATATCGATGTAGTAACTTTATAAAATAGTGTTTACATGGCATCTAACGTCAGTAGTTATAATATCAATGTTATAACTTTATCATAAATCGGATTGTGTAAACATAGTGTCGCGCTTCCGCGGCGGTTACTCGCACAACACTCACGCGACACGCGTAAATAAATAGAGGCCGTACATAAAGAACGAACTTTAATAAAACTAAACTCAACAATTTACAAAACTCGTTTACACCAATTATTATCTTTATAATTATATTTGGTAATCTTAGTTTTATAAAAAGAAAATAAGAAGGGAAGGCGTGTGCCACGATGGGACCCGACTACGAATCAGTCATAAAAATCCGAAATTATTTTGCGAAAAATATCACCTCAGCCAGGAATCGAATCTAGATCTCCTGCTTACTGGGCAGGTATCTTATCCTTTCGACTACAGAGGCATATGATGATAATTATCGCAAATAACGTATTTAGAATAACACGTCACAATTCAATGACATATATGTACATACACTACAATAATTTTACAATTCCAAAACCTCTCAAAACCGTCTCTGACGAATCTTAGTTGAATCTCTTCAATCAATCAATTCAATAGTCAATAAACAACGGCGCGTTGGCAAGGAATAATCTTCTCAACATTACTCGGGAACGGACTATCGCTTGGCCACAACAATAGTAATAGTCCAGTAGACTATATAGCCACTTGATCGGCCGATATCAATGCTTTGATACAGAGATCTCATCGTATCATTTTGTGATGCACCTTACATATTCGTAGTACGAGCCATCGAACATGTTTCGGAAAACGGCTTTATAATTTATTTATAAAATAATTGTTGCTCGCGGTAAGAATAGATTTTGAACGTGCGAAGATGAATCTCTTGTAAGTGGATCAAAATTGAGACATATATTTGTATTGCGTTACCTAATACATAGTTTAATACGACGAGAGTAGATCGGAAAGCGTGATGTCACGTCGCGAGATAGCAGAGACATATTTTGTTTGCAAATTTAAATTTTTTAGGTTTTCGTTATTACTATAACGGATAACACGGAAAGTAACATTCCATATGCGATGTGCTATGTAATATATTGATTTTTATTCTTGAATTGAATATCTGCGCGAATACTCTTTTGGAAACGATGCGATAAAAAAGAAAACATTTAGATTATTACCAAGAAGACTAACACAAGCGAGCATAAAACTAAAGTATTTTTTGGCAATATTTCGCAGGCTATTAGTTCGTTGAAGCGTGCGCATTATTTGAACCCGATGTCTTGCATTCCGTCATGCAACCTGGGAATCGTTTTTCTCACCACTGGCCAACCTGCATCAGCTGCGATTTATCTATGTGCTGCAATTAACGCTGAACCAAAGAATCCTATACCATATCTATTGTTAGGTTGTGAGTAGAAGATAAATTTAGTTTTTGGTTTAGAATTTCATATAAAAATAAGAATAAGGTAGTCAGAAAAAACATATCTTTTTTATGCGAGAGAATTTTGCTATTTCGTTTGAAAACATTTCATTGTGTATGTGTTTTTTTATAATAAAAATCTGTATCCTTGTCTCAGTGGCTTTAAAACGTTTGGATGATCTAGAAGGCGCCGAAAGATCATTAACGAAAGCACATGCATTAGCTCCTCAGGATCCGTTAATATTGATTAATTATGCTGTGGTACTGGATGCTCATCGTAAACAAGCTAACGCTACTGAGATTTTAATATTACTTAATGATATTATGGCTGTTGTTGAAGTCGATGCACAGGTATTTAATTTAAAAAATCACATGTGTACAATTGGATGTTGTGGATTAATTATAAAATTATATATCAATATATTATGACACAGATATCACAGATGGCAAAGAAGTTGTCAAAGAAATTACAACACGAAAGAGCAGAATTGAATATCGATCAAGATATGACAACAGAGGGGTATGAAAAATGATGATTGAATAGTGACGAAGTTTAAAAGTCTTGCCATTTATCATGCGAAGCATGCGTTATTTGAGAGATTTTAAAAAAGAGCTAAAAAAAATAATTTATCATCTAAATATTATAATCAATATTATCATCAATTCTTATTAGAGAATGTGCATAATTTTTTTATTACAAATGAGATACGATGAATTAATAATTAA